GATTCGAGTCATTGCCTGGAGATAAATCCCATCCCCAGCCAAAAGCTGTCATGAGAAGTCACTCAGCCTTCTCTCTCTCTCTCTCTCCCTTCTCCCAAGCAACAGAATCCAGATCCCTCCAGTTTCTATTTTCAAGCCCCTCCAACAGGATACCTCAGATGACCTCACTTCTCTGGCCTCTTCCTCCCCAGCTCCTCCTAGAACTTGGCTCTGCTATGACCCTCAGAAGCCTCCTGCACCTCCTGGACCTGAGACCCCACCCACGCACCCACCCACCAGGTCATGGCATAGATGGCTAAGGATCTGATGTCTAAAACCTGGCTGCGTGGGTGCAAGTCCCAGCTGGGTGCCACAGTTTACTCACCTGCAAAGTGAATAAGAAAATAATAGCACTTTCCTCGATGACAAACAATACTGAACATGTGTTATTACTATGTTCCAGGCTGTCTTCAGGCATTGTACCTGTATTGATGCATTTAATTTTTCTTCACAAAGTCCTCGAGGGAGGATACCCTCAACATCTCCATTCACAACCAAGGATACAGAGGCAGGAGAGATTAAATTATTGTCCACAGCTGCACAGTGGGAAAGGTCTGACACAAACTAGGGGGTGAAGTTCCAGACTCGAGCAGTTGTTGGGAGGATTAAATGTACTATGGCAATGCCTGGCTCATAGAAGCTGTGACAAGCATCAGCTGCTAAGACCATTATTGTCACTTCGCAGTCCAACTCCTGAGAGCCCACTAGGACCCATAGGCTGCTTTACTTATCCAAAGGGGCACCCATAGACTCCCACCCTGCCAAGGTTCCTCTGCCCCACCCTGGCATTGGTCCACCAGTGCCCTGAAAAACATGGCTGGCAGCACCCACACCTGAGCTTGGCCTGTTTTCTAGTCAATTGTCTGCATGTCCTCTCTCCACGGATGGCTGAGACCTCAGCTTATCTCAGCTCCAATGTCCCGGGAGGGGAAGGAACTCAGTAGTATGAACTCAACATGTGTTGGGAGCCACTGAAGCTGGAAATTGGTCATACGTGGGAGGGCAGGACTAGGCCTCAGTGACTAAACAGTCAAGCTACCTCAGTTCTGCCTGGTCAGTGTCAGCTATTAGTCACTAGGCAACCTTGTGTCATGTGATACGAACTCTGCAAAGGTATAAATAAACATCCCCACTATTGTTCTGGGGCTCTTTTGCTAATCAGGCACCTGGCACCACCTGACCCAGCTCTTGTCTTCTTATCTATCTTTTCCTCATTCCTGCCGCCATTCTTCCCAGGGTACACCGAGACACCAATACAGTCCTACAAACATGAAATAACACAGGACTGGGGTGAGAGATGCCAGTGACATCTTGGGGCCGGCACAGGTTAAGGGAGACACCAGCAGGGACTGTGGCTCACTGACCCCATTTCCTTCCCCGCCACTTGGCAGGGCTTTAGGGAGACTAAATTGAACCTGGACAGCACACAAGCTGTCCAAGGGCGACTGCTGGTGGCAGATGGGAAGGCAGGGCAGTAGAAGGAGAAGGCATGACCTTCAGATGAGCCAGCCTCAGATCTAGTGCTGCCCCAGCTCTGTGTCTCCACGCAGGTTTTCTCTGAGTCTCAGTTTCCTCATTCACGAGAGAGTAACAATGCAGCCCTGTTACTCTACCTAGTCCTGCCCTCCCACATATGACCAACTTCCATTGCATGAGCAGTGCTCACCAGGGGTAGAGCACACACAGCCACGGACCCCGCCTAGACCAGGTGTTCAGTAGCTAGTAGTCATCACTGTTGTTTGCTTAGTTTAGCGTTTAGGGAGCCTGCCGGCAGCAGTTCTGATTTCGGTTCACCTGCTAACCCACCTTTGCTCTTAAGCATGTCATTTCTCCTCATCTCTCTCCATGGAAAATGAGGCCACCCTGGTGACCTGTAAGATTCATCAGAGCTTTGGCTTATTGTGTTCTTTGATAATCTGCTTGTATCTCTCTGAGTTGCACCCTCTCTAGAAAGCCAGAAAAACTCCTCTCCCAGATGGTACAGATACCTGTACTGTACTCTGCCCAGGCAGGAGGACATACCCGGTGTGCAAGCTTTCTTGGAAAGAGGACTCTATCCCTGCTCCCAAATCCTTAAGATATGAGCAGCTTAACTGTGGCTTAAAGGGAAAAGAAAAAGGAAGAAAAGTAAAACAGCCCCAGCACAAGGCCAAACTCCACACTGCCCCTCCCACTCTATATATATCAGCTGTCATGGGAGAAGCAGACAGGGAGGAGGCTCTGGTTTGTTCCCCAGTGAAACATGCTATGATGAGAACAGATCCCTTCATTATGTGTCCACTTAGCACTCATTTCAACATGCCACAAAGCGGAAATAATTAAGGAATCTGTGTAAACCTCGGGCTAACCTTCCTGGGGCCTCCTGCACACAGCTTCGCACATGTGGGCATGTGGCAGCATCAGTCCTGGCTTCCCTTGCCTGTCCAAATGAAGATCTGATGGTGGCCTGTGTATGGCCTGGCACTGAGTGTGAGCATATGGGTGAGCACCCAGCTCTTAGGCAGAGCCAGGTGGGCGCGGGAGGGTCGGACACACATGCAAACACCTGTGGGCTGGATTCTTCCATGCTTCCCTGAGTACAGAAGCAGGAGCAGCTGAGTACAGACAGCCTTTTGGGGACATGTGAAGGCCACCATCACACCAGCTTGGAGGCATATCTGCATAGGAAATCCTCTTCTTGCCACATAAAGATTGTAAGGCCTTATTTAGACTCTAGTGCCAATGTCCAGGCAGTGGTACAAGATGGAGAAATCTCTTAGGCTTTCTCCTGCCCCCGAGGTCTACTGCAGAGAGGCTGGAGGCTGGAGGCAACCATACTGGGAAGAGGGCCAAGGCAGACTAGTTGCTCATCCTCAGCTGGTAGAGCAAATGCAGGCTCCCAGAGGGCGGGCGAGCTCCTCAGCTGCCTACTCTCGATCCTGTACTCACCTGTCTCACTCATTTGCCAAACAGTTCACAGACTGGAGGGGGAATAGATTATCCTCAAGAAAGGTATTGCTACCCACTGAGGTCTAGAGATTGGAATTGAAATAACGTGATCAGTACATGAAACCACTGGGTTCTGAAAGTGGTATAATTTCATGCCCCTCTCCACGGCACCTAATTCTCCTTGCACAAGAACATGCCCAGTGCCCCTCTTGTGCTGAGGACCTGATGAAGGAGGTAGGGCTGCCTGGCTGCCTGTCACCCCGTAAGGGAAGGTCACTGGGGGTGGGGCTTTTGGTGGGCCAACAAATTGTCTGGATAAGTCTCCCTGGAACAGATCCCCAGACCGTGAACTTCATGAAAGCAGGTCAAATTCTTATGCATCTTTTGCTTCGGTGTTAGCACAGTGTTTTGTACAAGGATGTGGACAGCCTTGGGGTTGGATAGAAGAATACATGAATAAGTAAGTCATGTCACGGCTGCCGGTGGGGGTGGGAGAACAAGACATAAAACGGAACCCTCCGTTGTCTCCTTTTTTCTTTCTGCTTTCTTCAAGCTCAGAAGACTGTGAGCTTCCCGTAAGGAAAGCAAATCCTAAATCTTCTCTCCATCCAACTCATCAAAGAGCTCACTGTATGCTCAGCAAAGATGGATTACCATGACAACCAGCAAGCACCAGAGCAGAGGCAGCACTCTGAACCCCACTCTCTTTCCCCAGGCACTATGGAGGAAACCGGTGCTCCTCAAAGTTCAGTGGGAGGCACACCTCCGAAGCCTCTGCCCCCAAAACACCCACCCAATGATCTACCAGACACTCTCGCTTGTGGCTGATGAGGGTGGGCTTGTGGCTGAGAAGCCCCAGAGAGTCCCTGTGCCAGTCTGCAGCAGATGCTAAAAGCAAAAGTCCTCTCACCAGCTCATGGGATAACAATTAGGATTGGGGGCCTGGGTAGGTGGATGGAGATCATTAAACTCTAACAATGTGGCACACACATAAGGAAGCCATTACACTAAGAAAACTGCAAATGTAAAAATAGAGCTCCACATAGTTTCCTGGTTACCACATTCTAATTCTGATGGTTTGTCAGTGCCAGTGAAATTTGGCTTCCTTGTGTCTCTCTCCATGCCCTGGTCCTCTTGCAGTGCCCTTCTGTCTCAGAGGCGATGGCTCACTCTTTGAATGCCCCATTGTTATGCCAGGACCTTTGTCCGCAAAGCTTGCCACGGAGCAGTGAGTGTGTTTTTGCTGCCGGAACAGTCGCAGTGGACCTAGAGCCACTGCCGTTGACCTTTCAGAGAGGTCTGAAAAGGATCAGCTCATAAACCAAGGTGACACTGGACCATCTGTCTAGCATGGCATAGAGAAGGAAGGAATGACATGCCATTGGTGCCATATTTGGGCAGAGTCAGTCTGTGCTTTCTGCCCCAGCCTCATCCACCAGACGAGGGCACCACAATGTGCTTGCACAATATTAGGTTTTCCAAGAGCCAGTCATTACACTGGAAGCTCCCTGTGCAACTGGCAGCAAATCTCTTTGCCACTCAGGGCCTAGTTTCCATCACAGGGCAAAGGGATGATCTCCAGGGCTCAGGTCAGTCTGACATCTGGGGTTGTAGGAGGTGTCTGTGGCCACTACTAGGCTCTAAGCAAGGGGCAAGATTCCCCAGGCCTGGGAACTACAGGGCAGCGCTGGGTCCTTGCAGTGTGCAGTCTTATGTACCTCTGCTATGCATCAGAGCATCCTCTGGGCACTTTTTTCATGTTTTGAGAAAAATCAAGACACGCCCCTAAATTCTGCCAGGCATTTGGCATCTAACCAAGGTAGGACCCGATCTAAGGCACAAAGGCCCTCACTTATTCACTCCTCATTCATTTTCATAGACGCTGGCACCTGAGAAAGCACCTCGAACAAGCACTGTCTCTGTGCAGAAGTAACATTACTGTGTGTGGCCACTAGCAGGTCCCTGAGGGTGTGAACTATATAAGTGACCAGGGGATATGTTGCAGCACAGGGTGACACTAGGAAGGGACTTACCCACACTGCAGAAGCTGTCCTCTGTCCTGCTTGGGGGACTGGAGTAGCCATCAACAGCCCAGCTGCTCCGAGGGATGGGGCCAGGCTCCGGGTCTGTCTGCAACCTGTGGGCCGAGAAGGAGTGATCATTCATGGCCTCAGAGCCCCTTCATGTGCTAAGAAACTCCTCAAGCCCGACTTTCCCCTGCAGGTGCCCTCTGCTAATGTTGGCTATCTGTTGGTGTTGTACCCATTTGCAGGACAGTGGGCACTGGCCAGGTAGCAGGAGGTCAGGAAAGGAGTAACAGGATCAGCCTGGGTCACTGCAACTCCTGGGAAAGCAGGCCCACCCTGGCCAGTTGTGGCAGCAAGAAGGAAGGGTGAGGTCTCCGGACACCCACTCCCAAGTGCACACAGACCTCTGAGCACAACCTCAACTCTACCCTGGCTCCCAGGAACAAAGGCCATGGGAGCTTTCATTATAGGCAATTACCCTGGGCTCTTGCAGCTGGCCCGCCCACCCATCCGCCCGCTGTCGCCAGCTAAATGGATCCTTTGGCAGCTTGGCAGGAGGGGGAGGGGAGCACTGTGCAGGCAGGAGGGGAAACTGACAGGCTGGGCCTAGTCTCCAGTGCTGCCAGGATGTGTCTTTCTCACTCTCAGGCTTGTACTTCTTGCCATACCTGGACCGCTACCACTTGGGCCTAGCTCTGCTGGATGCTCCCTGTGTAACTGGCGGCAAATCTCTTTGCCACTCAGGGCCTGGTTTCCATCACAGGACAAAGGGATGACCTCCAGGGCTCAAGTCAGTCTGACATCTGGGGTTGTGGGAGGTGCCTGTGGCCCCTTCTAGGCTTTAAGCCACTCAAGCAGTGTTGGGCTCTCCTAGCTCTGCAGGTCCTGGGGTGGGGAATGGGGTAGGGTGGAAGGAACTCAAGAAAGCAATGACCTAGTCCTGGCCTCCAGGGGTGCTTGGTATGATAGGAACACTCTTCCCAGGTACAACGCCAAGGGGACAGAGAAAAGCCAGAGTTGGCTGATTTGCCAGTTAGCATGGAGTCTGGCTTTTGAACCAAGAAATGCAACATACTGGTGAAAAAGTAATAGAAATTCCACTGGGGAGAGGAAATTCTATGTAATTCATCAAAAGCTTCACTGAATAACACTGTCTTCATACAGAGCTAGGAACAGTGTCTTGCCAAGAACAGGTATAATCAGCATCAAAAATAGGCACAAGGTCCAGAGTTTAATCACTGGTACTCCCCCCCAAAAAGAATCCATGCCTACCTCCACCTCCCCAAATATACCAGCCCTCCATGTCTGCCTACTTATCACCCTGAAAGGACAGTGCTACCTATGCTACAAAGTTAAGTGGAAGCTGAACCAGGGGGAAGAAAACCACAATGGTGACACTAATAATCCTACACTCCTGAAACTATTAACCAGAATTTCCTAAATTAAGTCCAACTCAAGGTTTGCTTAGTAAAGGAAGGAGTGACTGTTGGGGCAGGTAGAAAGAGCGAGGGCTCTGGAACAGCTTCCAGGGCACTTCTCCAGGAACATGGAGGGGAGTGAGGAAGGGGAAAAGACGAGGATCCAGAGGGCAGTCCATGGGGCACTGCATCTTCTCCTGGCCAGAGAGCTGGGGCATCCAGAGGAGGTGGCAGATGGCAGAGACCACTTTTGCATCCACCTAGGGCTGTGCAGCAGCCAAGGTGCTGGAGGTGGGAGCAGATTTCCACGAAAACAGGCTGACTTCACTAGAAGAAAAGTACCCAAGTCCTGTTGAAGAGATGGCTGGGAGGATGGAGAAGGGCAAAAGGGGGCTGGTGGATTTCTTCTCTAGAGAAGCAGGTCAAGAGCAACCAGGATGGAGGTGATGCAGCGAGCCCTGGAACCTCTACTTTTGCATCCACCTAGGGCTGTGCAGCAGCCAAGGTGCTGGAAGTGGGAGCAGATTTCCACGAAAACAGGCTGTCTGCAGATTCTAGGGAGCAGATGGCACCTCTCTGGCTATGAAGCTTGGAAGTGTGGCCCAGCCAGGCTCTTGGCAGAACTGCCCAAGGCAGAAGCTCTTGGCCCTGCAGGGTGCGCTGGGTCCCTGCCACCTGCCTAAAGTGTTATGGGGTTTCCTTAGTGCTACTCTTACCCTTGCTTGGTCTCACAGCCCTAATCCAGGATGTGAAAGCAGCAGGTTCTAGGCAGTGGGGTGGCAAAGAAAAATCCCTTTTGGGGTGATGTGACATGTTTCTACTTCTGTTTAAAATGCAAAGATGCAATAAATGTTGAATGAATGAGGTATGGTTTCATTTAAACTACATTGAAATATTCAGAGAAAGTACTCTGACCTCCCCTGGAAAATGTCAGGATCTAAATATATCAAGGGACTTCTACAGTGGGAAGTATAAACTCTTAAACAGTTTAATGCCTAGATACTTTCCCCCAAGGAATGAATTCAAATCAAAGCATAGCAGGTAGGAGAAGAAAGTCCAAGAGTCACAAGGAAAACCCTTAGCCAACTGGAGAAAGGACACTGAGAGGAAGGTCAGGAGGGGCTGTAGCTTACTGTCAGGGCATTTGCCTAGGAGGTGAGAGGGCCTGGGCTCCATCCATCCCCAAAACCACAAGAAGAAGGTCCGCCCTGCACTTTTGCTTCTTGAGTTCTCTCAGCAGCTTTAGGAATCTAAGTTGAAAAAGTCACGAGGCACAGAGTGAATTGGCCCTTTTGGAAAAGGACGTCAGTACACTTTGTGGTCAGCACAGTCCACCAGAAGGGGTGATGAGAGAACAAGGGATCATTGGATAAGAACTCCCTTTGGCCAAGGAAGCTGCTGGAATCCCTGCAGTGATGGGGAATTCACTGCCTGACACTCAATTTACAGCCCTCTTGAGTTGCTGGAAAGTTCTATCGAGCCTCAAATCTGCCTCAAACTAACTTCTAACCACCATGATGCTGAGTCAGCTCTTTGGAGCTGCACCAAATAAATTTAATTCATCTCACAACATGACAGTTTTTAAAATATTTGAGAACAGCTCTCAGGTCCTTCTAAGCCTTCTTCTTCCAAAGCAAATATCTTTAGCTCCTTTAATCATTTTTACAATGCCTTTTTTGGGGACTCTTTAGTAGCCTGTCAATCTTTCCCTAAATGTGTCTTGGTATTGCTGTCCTTTTACGATGTGGTGCTCCTAAATGAAAAGTAGCATGCTGAAGGAGGCCTGAACACAGCAGGATATGGTGGGACTAGTCACTTGTTTCTCATGGACCCTAAATATTTATTACTATAATATAAGGTCACACTGGATTGTCCAGAGGTCAAGACACAGAGAGTTGGCTGCCAGGGAAGGCTGAAGCCCCTACAGAGTCTCCTCACACATCCAGCTGCTCTGATGCCTCAGAGTTCCCAGTGTCTAGGAAGCAAATGTGCAGGCTTTTCTATACCCACAATATAAATGAGATCTTCTCCTGGCATGGGCATAGGAAAGAATCAGGAAACTAGTTCATGCAGGAAGGTACTTAACATGCATCTGAGTCTGCCTTAGCTGTATAAAATTAGTAATTAAAATTAGTAAGTAAAATATTAGTAATTAGGAGTAAGTAGATGCTACTTAATGTAGTCATTTTAGTAAAGAGTTAAATTTTAATTTAAAAAGCACAGCTGGCCAAGTGTTTTTTCTCTGCTCCTAAAATTGTCACATCTGAAATAAACTAGCAAGAAGGACTACATTGTTGTGAATACTGGTCAGGCACTGCCACTGCCCATGACAGCAGTGCCCACGTGGCTACTTAACACTATCACTGACTGCTGACATGTCACACACAGCAACAGATACGTACAAGCCAATATAATAAGTGGGTGACAAAGAAATGTGTGCGAGAGAGAGAGAGAGACATGAAGTATTATGGAAACAACACTGTGAAATGGGATTTTATTCACCATAAAGTGAAAGCACAGTGTCCAGGACCGTGCAGTTTGTCTTACACACAGTGGTGGCAAACATACAATATGAATGAAGCAAGATGGGTCTACCTACTTACCCTCCTACCTTGTGTCTAGCTGCTATGATTTAGATCTAGAATGTTCTGGAAAAGTCTCAAGTGTTCAGTAGTGGGGCTTTTGGAAGGCGACGGATCACAGGAGCACAATTCTCATCAGTGGACTGACCCCACTGATGAGTTCATAGGTGCATGTGTTAGGAGGTGGCATCCTGTTAGAGAAGGAGTGTCACTTCAGGCTTGTCCTTGGCTCCTTGCTTCTCTCTGCTTCCCGGATGCCACAGGTTGAACAAATATCCTTTCCCAGGCCCTTCCATCATGCCTTTCTGCCTTGGAGCCAGCTAACAACAGACTAAACTCTTTGAAATCTGAAGCAAAGTAATGCTCCCCTCTTTAAGTTGTGGATGTCACATGGTTTGTCCCGATAATAAGAATGTGACTAACACACTAGCTGTTTGAGCAACCATAATACCTAATATATTATCATCATTTTCCAGAAAGCAGGACAGACATATTAAGGATACCCTCCTTATGAATCTGTTTTCTGTGGAATCCCCACAGTTCATAAAGACCAGAGTTTAGTTAGGGTTCCATTTTTGGTTCTCAGTCCCAGCTCAGCTTGCCAACCCCCCAACTCTAGGCCTCCTCCTGCCCAGCATTATTCTCCACACCCTGGAGTCCTTGGTGTCCATCATCAAAGCCCCTCTCCTTCAGCCTTGCCCCTTAGTGCCAGAATTCTTCCCTCCTGCCCTCCCTAGCTGCCCCCCTTAGCTTACCTGTACCGGAAGGGGGCCACAGTGGCCGTGATGGGCTGGCTCTGCTGATGGACCGAGGAGAAGCTAATGGCCCCTGATGTGGGAGAGGGGTGCTTGCTCTGTGCTGGGCTGTAAGCTGGAGAGGAAGCCCCTGAAGCTGCTCCATCAGCAGACTCTGAAGAACGTGTATAGTTTATATCTTTCTGATCTTTTCCTTGGCAGCTAGGAGGCTTTTGACCTTCAGGAGCCCCTGGTATTTGAGTTTCTCCATGAACACTCGTCTGGGGTGGGCTCCTGCCACGGGTCTGGCAGATTGCAATCCCTTCCTGGGTCTTCTTCTTCTTTCCCTGGGTGCCTTGTGTCTCCCCAACTCTCCTGGACCCTGCCCGGCTGGAGGGGCTTGCTTTTGGGGTTACTCTGGGACTGCTCCAGGGGGAGGAGAGGCCTTCACCCCCCTCAGCCAACTCCCTCACTGTCCCAGCAGCCCTTGGGGAGCCTCTCCCACGGGAGGCCTTGGGCGAGGAGTTTCTGGAAGAGCCCACATCCTTGCCCAGCCTTGGGGAGGCCGATCGCTGTGGGCTGAGGGCCAGGCCGGCCTGGCGTGGTCGCAGCTGGGGAGATGCACCGGGTGTGGGAATCCTGGTCTGGGAAGAGGTTCGGGGCACAGGGATGGAGGAGGCATAGTGAGGGCGGCTGGCAGAATTCACGTTGGCCATCCCATTCATGGCGTGGCCGCCAGAGCGGGCTACTGTCCTGCAAAAAGAAGGAAGAACTGGGTGAGAGAAGGAACCATGCTGCTGGGGCTGGTGGGAAAGTGCAAGCACCCAGGCAGGGTGCTGGGACTACTGGATTCTCATCCTGTCTGAGTCAGCAAAGCCCTGTACCTTTCTGCTCTAAAGGCCTTAGGGAGGCTCTTTCCAGGTCTCATTCAAATGCACTCTACAAACTGCAGTGCTTCACTTGACTTCCCTTGGCTCTCTTCTTTTCCACTGATCAGTGACACAGCCCTGCTCTCTCAAATGTCCTGTCCATGGTAGACAAACTCCCTCATGCCTCCAGTTTTTCTCCTCTTGCTCCAGGCCACACAATCAACTTCCGGGTCTCCCCAGGACACGTCTCTCATACAGTACAATCTTCTTCTCCAGGCCCTTAAACCCAAAAGGACTAGTCACAACTCTCTCAAATCCTAAACTAGTAACCCTCTCTCCTTGAGGCACTTGCCCCCCTGCTGCCCCCACCTCCACAGTCACAGGGAATTTGGGCTCCTGGATCACAGTCTTCCTCTCTACCCATTCCCTATCTACTGGTACCTCCCATCTTGGCAAAAGACCTCTGTTACCTCCTGACCCCTCATCTAGTCTCAAGACTGAGTGTCCCACCTTCGGCTGAGGCAGCTTCTTCTACACACTTCCTGCCAACAACACTGATCTTTTCTCTTCTAAACCTTGCTTCAGTAATTATCTCATCTCTCTCCAGGATCTCAAGCCCCCTCCCCACTAGCTTCCTGCTCTGTCACATTAATTAATGAAGTAATCATTCTCATTTCAAAGGGAATTTGCAGTATTTACAAAGACATATGTCACCAGCTCTGGAATAGTTAGAGTTAAATGTAATAGATGAAAGGATAAAAATTTGTAGAACACATACATGAATGTTTACACAACTCTGTTATGGGAAGTACTGCATCAAAGACAGAAACCATGAAGGAAAATACTGATAGCTTTGGAATATATAAAAATAAAAATTTCTGCATGGACCAACAAAACCAAACACCTTTTCAAGAGGCTCAACATATCAAAAAAAATTCAAAAATACTTCCAACAAGAATTAAAGGCAAACAGTTTATACCTTTATTATAGGGGGCTCTATCAACTCAATAGTAGCCAGTTGCTCCCTAGACTAAAGGGCAAAAGGTAAGCAAGAAATTCACAAAATAACAACTACAATTAACCACAACATAACAGAGATAAGACTCCCAGAGAAATTTAACATGTGCAAATTAAATAAATTTTGGTTTGCTGGTATTTTTATTATTGTTTAGGAGATTAAGAATATTGCTAAGAGTGAGAGAGCCCTCATACCCAGCTGGGGGAACAACACTGGATCTAGAATTAATTCTAGAGAAATGATTAAAGATGTGGGCAAGGATTTGCATACAATGGAAATGCTCAAAAGAGTGGCCTTTCATGGGGCTGAGCTGTCACGGGGTGCAGATGGAGATAAAGGACATCTGGGACATGAAAAACCACCAAAGCATAGCCAGTCCACCTGAGACCACGGAGAGCCCTCGTGTCACCATAGATGAAGCTGTCAGCAAAAGCCCGGGCTGGCTGCTGGCTGCTGCTGGCCCTTCCCTGACCTCTGACTCTGTGCTCTGGGACCAGCTACAGACCAAACCCTCAGAAGTCAATGCAGAGAGTAGAGCATTGATGGATTTACAGAGCCACAGCTCAGAGCAACTGTGAGAGTCGGGTTTATAGTAATGCTCTGCCTATAGGTAAAATGAGTTCCACAAGAAAGACAAGTGCTGTGACCCCTCCCCTTGTCCTCTAATTCATAAATTAAATGACTTGACGACATTATTAGATGGGCTATCTCATGTCCAAGAACAGCTTGACTTGTTTCCCCGCCATCTATATCTTATACCGTTTCTGATCACTCACTAGGCTACAGACTGGAACGACGCCCTATCTGCCCAGTCTCGGCACTAGCATGCCAAAGATTGCCTCTTTTATAAATATATCTCAGGGCCGGGGAGATGGCTCAGTAGAATAAGTGCTTCCCTGACAAGCGCAAGGCCCTGAGTTCAATCCCTGGTTCCACAAAAAAAAAAAAAAAAAAAAAAAAAAAAAAAAAAAAAAAAACAGCTCTCAGGGGAGTCAAGCCAGTAGTGCCTGCAGCTGCAAAAATTAGAAAAAATTATTTAACTTCTTCATGTCATGTGCAAAATGAGGACAGGAAAATATCTAGAAACTGCAGACAGGAGAAGACTGGAGTCTTTAAGATGAGAAAAGAACACTATGCTTGAGCCCGAGGGAATGTAGTCAGAATTCTCCTCTCCAGCAGAGCAGAGTAGATTTACTTTGTCACTTTTCTATACAAACACCTTTTTAAAGCAGTCAGCTAGTGTATGTGCTAAGCCAGAGCAGGAGCACAAGTGTGTACCCGCTGGGAGGTGGGGGGGGGGGGGTTCTGTGCCGCTGAGCTGCTGCCCTTGGCCTCTAGTGTACAGCTGGGTTGTACACTGGCCAGCAGGTTAGCCCGGACCTTCAGGAAGGGTCTCAGACCACTGACCCACTGCATCCACACACAGACTTCACAGAGTTCCCAAGTTTGACCCCCTCATGGGCAAGAGGCTATGTGGCCCATTTCTGTTACTGCCGTGACACCTGAACTCCACCAAATCCAGTGTGGGGACCAAACTCAATTGGACACTCCAGACTGCCCTTCTGGAAACTCCGTCTGAAAGCAGAATCCAGAACTGCATTTTGCCACTGCCTGATTTTCTCCTGGGAGTGGTTTCCGGCTCAGGTTTGTTTTTTGTTTTTTTGTTTGTTTGTTTTTCTTTTGTCAAGGTCCCCCCTCCCCACCTCTGGAAGCCCAACTCACCTGCCTTGTCCTCCATGCAACCCTAGATCCTGGCTCTGCAGTGGCTGGCCTTGGCTCAGACTTCTCACGGTCCTCTGACTGCGGCTGGCCAGCCTTCCAGCTCAGAGAGTCTGAAGGCCAAGCTCGCCTCTTTTGCCTTGCTTGCTAATGGAGCACAGGCAGTTGCTGCTCTTACTGCCTCATCATTTTTTCACAAGCTCCAAGGGGAGAGGACTGTGAAACACTCCTATGACAGGTCACAGGCCCCACCCTCCCTCTCCACTGCACCTGGGACCCTGTACTCTCTTTCTCTCCAGGTGACAGGGAGCAGAATGTACCTGGGAATGTGGCAACCCTGTCCCTGGTAGAACCTGGGAGACCTAGACCAGCTTTAGGGTGGTGGTGGGCTTGCTGGACAGAGAGTGATTCTAGCCTGTAGTAAAGGGGTCACCAAGGAGCTTTCCCTGTTTGCCTTGGGGAAGCCCATAGATACTCAATTAGAAAGGCAGATTCTATTACCCCTGTTTCACAGGTAAGGAAAATGACATTGAAGTTAAGTGACCTTCCCAAGACACGCAGGGCTAGGAAATGGTAGAGGGGTGTGGTTCCTGGGCAGCCAGGCAGGACTCTGAGGCTCCCGGATGGATCTGCTTCTTGGTCCTGCTCATCACTGTACATGCAACCTAAGCCCACATATCTCTAGCTTCTTTGATGAACACTCTCCTCACGCAGCAGCTGCTCCAGGCTTTCCAGAGATAGAGATGGAGGTGGAAGTGGGGGTGGAGAGGCTGAATCTGATTTATAGGTTAGAAACCAGAGGAGAAGGAAATCAGTCATAGACATTCTGCTTTGGGGTCAGGGTGGTCTCCTTTCCTTTTCTTATTCCCCCCAGCAGTCCTCATATCTCACCCATTTTTTCTGTCCCTCTCATGCTGTTTACCTTGAGTGGTATTAAGCACAAGGGTAGTCCAGGGGCAAAGTCCCAGGGGATACTATAGGCAGCATGAAGAAGGGGAGGGAGATGATGGGTCCAATCCAACCTGGCCACAGGTTGAAAGTGCTAGTTTCTGGGTTTGGGGTAGACTGGGAAGAAATATTCTGGATTACAGATCTTGACCATGAGGGTGAAGAGGTTGGGGAGGAGGAGGAGGAGGAGGAGGAGGAGGAGGAGGAGGAGGAGAGAGTGCACATTGGTTGCTGGCCTCTGAGCCTCACACCCATGGACAATGGTGTGCCCAAAGAGCAAGGCTAAGGCTTCTGCCCAGGTCATTTCCATTGGGATGCAAACATATGCTGTGGCTGTGGCATATCTCTTCTGCCTCACCCACACTTTCCTGTCTCCGGTCCCAAGCAGGCTGGTTAAGGTAATGCTAGAAAAATGTTAGGCCTCCTGAGATGAGCAGGGCTAGCTACAATGGTGTCCCTCTCTCAGACCTCAGAGTTAGACAGGAAGGACAAGAGAAGCAGGGACAAACTGTGCCTCTTTTGGATAGGACTATGCTCAAGACAAAAAGCACAGCCATCAGTATCAATCACCCTTTGTGATACCTTCTGAGTGTGTTTGAGGGAGGTCAAAGAAGGTTGCGGGTAGGGCTGCAAGGAGAAGCAAGGAGCCTTTGGGCTGTGTGTGTGTGTGTGTGTGTGTGTGTGTGTGTGTGTAGTGGACGGAACCTACCAGAACCTTCACTCACAAATATGTTCTTTTAAGCACCCTGATCTGATATTTTACTTAACCTCAATTAACAAAAGGAAGGCCTCAGTTTTTGTGATCCCTGTCCTCAGTAAGTCACATTAGGGAATTACTATTTTCATTACGAGCAGCATTCCATTTACAAAAGGGTTCGTGGCAGGATCCCTTTTTGTTCCACAACCACACACCCTGGCTGCACCCTCCGAATGCCAGGTGCTCTACCAGGTGCTGCAGCAAGCACTATGGCTGACACCCAGGTTCTGCTCTCAAGGATCAAGCAATCTGGTAGAGAAGAGACACACGCGCAGTAGGCAGCATGTGCGGTACGTATCAAAAGAGGCGAAATAAAGTGCCCTGGAGATACATATGTCACCATCTGTCAATGAGACGGGACCTGGGCAGGCTTCACGGAAGAGGCACCAGGGTTGGTGCTTGACAGTTTGCAGTCTGGGGAGAAGCAGCTTTGATGATAGGG